TTAAACTCAAAGGCTTCTCCTTTAAAACCTCCACATGCCAATTTTCTGGGGCCTTTTTGTTACTACAGTACAGTATATTATTGACAAAGGAAAGAGAAAATAAATAAAAATGTTTTGCAGTGTTTTGAATGGAACTGAAAAATTAATAAGGTAAATGTCACAGGGTGAAAAAAAATGTTCAGGCCAGACAATTTGCAAATTTTTGTTGTTTCAACCATTATCTTTTTCAAACATTTTATATTTATTGGTTAAACCAGCAAAAAGTTTACATTCTGTAAGAGGCCAGAAAATGTTTTAGCACCCTGTGATGTGGGTGGAGAACTCAGGTCATAACTGGAAAGTTTTCACTCATCATCATGCAGTAAATTGATTTTTTTGTTCTAAAAAAAAAATTCCATAACCTCACAACATCATGGGGTATATCATAATTTTTTACAGTCTCAACCATACTAGAAATAACCAAGGTTGCGCCCAAGTGGGACAACCCTTGTATCCCTTGCACAGCATAATTTGCAGAACAAATATGAAAAACTCCGATTTCCTAGTACAGTACAGAACCCGGAATATTATTTTATTTCTAGAATAAAAAACGCCTGGGAATAACTGGACTGTACTGTATAAGATTGGAGGAGATTCACAAATTCCAGAAATTTGACCTTCTAAAAGTTAAATGCGCATCATATTTATAGCCGCAAGGACAAGAGAGATGCAAGCTTTGGGGTAATAACATACCAATGCACAGGTACTTGGTAAAAACGCACATACAGTACTTTTCTATTAAATTATAATTTAGAGCCATTCAAAATCGAATTTCACGCTTGTAACACACCCACCTTTTTGATCACACCTGCACAAAGGTCAGGCACTTCAAATTAAGATTATGTTGGAAATAAAGTGTGTCCTACAGCTATAGAGACAATTGGTCAAGTAGGTTTGGTAGTGGTGAGTGACTCCACATGACCCAGGTGTGGTTGACCGCCATACTTCCACAGTTGAATCTTGTTATAAAAAATAGGGACAAAGAAAATAGGTTAATTTCACAAAAAAATGCACCAAGAAATTCAAATAATATGGTGGATATTGAGTAGGGATCTGACAAGTAAATCTTGTTATAAGCAATAAATTTTCATGAGGGATTTTTTGTGGCAAGTTCTATACTGTGCGGGGGTGTCACCACATCACAAAAACTATCTGCTTTCAGATGGTTTTGTTATTTGGATTTTTGTGAAGTATTGTAAAATGCAATTACACATGAGGTTACATTTTAAATAATTTGATTGTTCCAGACACTCACAATGAATACATTTCACCTGTGTTGACTAGTTGTCAGCATAAAGTCACAGATTTAAAATTGATTAGTGTGAAGTTGACATAATCCTGACAAGTTTGTGCTCATAAATATCTGAATTCCACAAAGTTCAAAAGCAAGATGTGAAACTTTACCCTTATTTTTTCAGTTTTCTCAACTCACGAAAAATTCCAAAGATATTATTTTAAAATGTGTTCAAATTTGAATGCATTTGGCCAAAATATGTCAGAATATGAAAAGATTTCGTAATGTGAGTCACATTTTTACTTTTTTTCATCAAAAGTTTCGCGATATAAAATTTTGTTCAACGGAAATTTTTGTAATGCAGAGACTTACTGCATATACATTACAGTACTGGACATGTGTTCAGTACTGTGTTCGTAGGAAGACTGTTCACTGAACTCCTGCCAAATCGCAGCACCATGGACAGATGTCGCTAGGAGAAGAGATTGCGCTCGAACTTGAAATGAACGTTACGACGGCGGTCTACACTAGTCTACTGCATATGCGATGTTCAAAATCTTTATAGAATACAGTATAGTTATCGGATCCCATTATGGATGAATCTAAGTTACGGCTCGCTTTTCCCGTCAAACCTTTCGATTTCAAGCATTCGGAAGTCTTCCGTGCGGTGGATTCGCAAAACGTATACCGCACAAGGGTTTTCCTTTTTCGACGATGTGATTACTGTACTGTATATCCTTGAACCGAACTATCGGCTCAACGTTTTATTGCACCATTCAGTATCACAGCGTCAATAAGTAGCGGGTACAATCGGAATGCCTCAATAACTTACGTCAGATATTATTGAGCTGGTTACGCTTCAGGTGGTCAAGGAAATCTGTCCAGGTCACCATTTTCCGGAGGAAATAATTTTTCACTGAAAAGGCATGAATCTTTTTCAACATATTCTCAACGTAATTCCCTCAGAAAAAGTGTGCTTGAAAGAACTTCAACCGTTAGTTCCTTAGTGTGACGTATGTTTGGGGTCCCGCTGCGAATGTGCTTGGATCAGGGTTATAAAATCATAATGAGAGGCGCTCAAACACAAAATATTTGTTGAATTTACCGTAATAGTGTAGTACTTTCCGAAAGTTATATTTTTTTAATGAACAGTTGCAGCGTGTGTCTTCTGAATGTTTCGGATCAGTTGAACCTTGGAATAACGATGAAACGGACAGTTGAACAATCAAGCGATCAAAAATCGTTCTGAAATTCGTATCCGTACCAATGCAACCCAACGTTTTCTACACTTACGGAACGACGCGAGTGCTTCTGCCATGTCGATCCATGAAAAAAAGTAATTTGCAATGATCCCCGAACATCCTTTCAATCGACTGTACTTCGCGATCACTGAACGAGATTTTCTGTACCAAAAATCCCAACAATCGCTTGAATATCGGAGAAACTGAAAATGGCGAAGAACTCTCTCTCAACAGATGAATCGAACTTTCGCGCATTTGAAGAACTTGTCGTTCAAGATCCTGAGCCCCGCTAAGATCAGCTGGCAAACTTCGGCATTCACAGTGCCGATAATCCGCCAACACATAATTTCCCAACAAATACAATAATTAACTTCGTGTAAAATGAAAAGCGAGTGTCACAGAATGATTAGAACGTATCTAATAACCTTGCCACCAAACCGGCGCAGACAATACCTTTCAACGTAACCAATCCAAATGCTCCCACAGTGTACGACGGATACATCAGCCCGGAACCGTCACCAAATTCCATCCCACGCCAAAAATAACAAAGAAGTGTCAACGGTCAACTTTCGCTATTTCACGCAAAGGAATTTTACCAAGGAAAATTCAGCATTATCTTACTTCATCCTACCCGAATCTGAAACAAGTGTAATTGAATAGATATACTCACGTCGACAAAAAAGTGCTTCATCTTCGAATGAGAGGCAACGAAACTAGAAAAAGTTCACGGATTATAAACCTGAAACGGTAGAAAACAAGCCACTCAAAAGTTCGAAAGTACGCAATCTTCCTCGGGAAATTAAAGAAAACAGTACCGATGTGTTTTCCGTTTTTTATATTTCTTATTTTACATTCAAGACACGACAAGGATAAAGGTCGAAAGGAGTAAGAGCAGCAAATCTTGATTCCCTTCTGACCCAGATAATCCCGGTTTCAATCGGAGCCCTAAAAATTCGCTATTGCACCAAATCTGTAAGGAAGGCAAACCCAACTATGAGATCACAGAACTATCTTTTCAATGAAATAATATGCATTAACTCACCTAGATTAAAGACGACTTAAGAAGTGAACAATCACTTCGAGTTCCATTCCTGTAATTCTCGGTGCTCACTTTCTACTTCTTCCAGGTATGGTTGCAGGTATCGACCGTTAGCGACGTCGTCTTCGAATGAGGTCCACTGGGATTTGGGAAGAATGTCTTTCTTCAAATTTAAATCTAGGGCACGGGAAATTCTGAAAGCTCTTTCGTCCGTGATGTGGGCTGGGATTCGACGCAACGCCTCTTTAACCGTATTATTTTCGGCCAACATGTCATCGTGGTACACTCCATAGACACGATAACGAGAATAGTTGAAGATCAACTGCTTCAGCCACTTGGCTCCTTCTTTACCAGCTTTCGCCATTGTAAATTTCGGCAAAATAAGTCTTAATCTAACTGAAATCTGCAATAGAATAAAATAACATCATTTTGAGTAGCTCAACTGGAAACAAACATAAGAAAACACGCCTCATCGCAATATGCGTCCAGTAACGCGCATGACTGGAACACCTCGTAAAAGAAATGTATTCATCCCAAGTTTGAACTTCGATCACGAATACCACAGGCAGATTCCATCAAAGGATTTCCAGCAATCACTTAATCATACAGTACAGTAATTTTCTATCCATGGGACACTTCATTTCAAACCTAGCCTCACTGACGATCGCAAGCAGAGGAACAGAAACAGTAGACGGGTGGGAACCATGTTGGTTCTTCACAGAGCTCACCAATAACTGCTAGTGACATGATGACTATTCGCAGTCACGTAAAGATTCCCCAAAGCCTGGATAAATCCAATCCTGAATGCACCCTTCAAGAATGAAGGAATTAGATCACACGTACTTCTCTGATGATTGTTTCAAGAGTATTCTGAATGGTACAAATCCCTGTCCAGATTAACCCCTTCGCATGACAAATTTTCCATCCCGCTTTTGTTACTTGCAACCATGTTTCCAAGTGCAGTCGATGACGAGATTCTTTAACCAGCTGTATAATAAGAGAGGACGAATTACTTCACATTTCCGGGATCCGTGAAATACTATACTGACCTCATCGCCGACCCTCAACAATCCGTTCAGGCAAACAGTCACCAAAAATACCGTCTTCTTACGCGAAGTTGATAATACCATCGCATCGTCGCGGTCATTAGTCGCCCGAATTCCAGTGCTGCTGCTGGGACAAAGAAGCCGTGGTAGCAAATTAGTGCCAAATTCAAACAGCTGTCTCATCACGATGAAGAAAGTGTTCTCTTGACGAAGAAGAGCCATCAAAATCTCAGCTCTTACTCGTACTTCAGCAGCACTCTGTACCAAGAAAAAATAATAAAAGAGCAATAACATGAAGTACCGTACGCAATAAATCTGCGAGAATATAATATGAGGTACATTCTTTGACTCATCCGCGAGCTGCGCATGTCATATATACGCTGTACTGCACTTAGCTTACGCTGGGCTGAACACCAGTTCGGGACCCTTTTCGCCCTATCAGTATAGCCAAATAATGATGTTTCAGTATAATCGATTCAAATTTGTTTTTGTGGGCATTGTAATCATCTCAGTTAGGAAAAAATTGAAACATGTTGGTCGAAAATAGTGTTCCACAACAGTAGTGGTAGAAACAAAAATTTTACGTAGTCTCCGGCAACGACATTCACGAGATCAGAAAAAATTCGCTGTAGAGAGGATCTCGTTGCAGATGAGAACCTTAAAAATATAGTTGTAGAGAACGCTATATATATGGGATCACACATTGCATAGAGAAAATCGTACCTGTATATTATACGGTATCGCACATTGCACAACGCATTGTGGAATTTTTCAATTTACAAATATTGTATAAGAATTAAACTCTGTACTATTAATAGCAGAACATCACACGTACACTGTTCCATTTCACCGGGGCAATTAACGCCTCCACGAAGTTCTTCAGCATCACCACAACATCATCATGAAACTTCAAGAACGTTTCCCGTCGCTTGATGTCCGCATCCAAACGAAGCCCTTCGTTCATCAGAATCGCCACCGAGATACTTTCCGAGAGACAATCCTGCGTCAGTTTCGCGTCATCGTAGCCGCACAAATCCAACAAAGCCTGCAATGCTAAGGCGCAATCGTCCAATGAGATCCGCATCCGTCGACGGCAGCTGTGCTGTGAGCCGTCCGCTGATCCTTCCATCCTGTTACTGATGCAGACGTTCAGCAATGATACGTCCTGCGATGCGTTCATGATGCGTCGCGAGCGAAGGTGACATTTCAGACCAGAGCTCAGCTTTTCTGCCTGATGTAATAATGGAATATGACGCAATCATGCACGCAATATCGACCAAAATGAATAATCATGCAAAAGTATATATGCAATATCCCTATATTTAGTATAGCGAGAGTTGAACAAAGCAGTTTATCATGATCGGGAAGCGCTGTCTGATTGTCTGAATTCGGAAACGACAAAAAAGCTTCCGCTCGCAGAAAAAGCGGTCCACAGTAACAACAGATATACAAGCGTTGCATCCGAGGTACTATATACAGTATATACAATCAAAAGGTACAAATAAATAAACCGATCTGCATACATAGCATTCATCGCGTATGCTCAGCATACATACACTCAGCGAACACAAGTATAATGTAAGCAGGTGAAACTCGAAGATATGAGCGGTATAATAGAGAGGAGTTTTTTGAAATATGTTGTATACTGTGCGTATAACAATCGATCAATTGCAGCTTCATCGTCAGCCTGGCCGTATTTATAGGCAGATCCGCGGTTTAAAAAATCGTCATTGGAGATTGAAGGACATCACTTTTTGCAACGTTCCCCCCAGCATGTTGTTTCTTTCTCACAGCATATATACTGGAATGATTCATGCATTACTCATGCTGCATCCTGCACAGAAGCCGACCGGAAATTCCGATGCTTCTCCGCCATACCGTAGCACATGCAGCGGGAAACCGATCGCTCAACTGATAATATGAGGAACTTTTTTAAAAATCGTTCACAATTGAGAGCAAATCCTATGGAGGAAGGATGCTGCGGCTTGTTTTGTGACTGATAAGAAAATATATTTATATCTCACCGATGTTTACTGCACAGGAGTTTCAGAGAAATTTCGTTCTTATACATTACGTACTTTATTATAGTATCCCCGGCCAACCTACCACCTGTATTACAGGATTCCTTTTTTTTTCAAAGTTACGAGCACAAAAACATGGGGAAGTTCACCAGTGACTTGGAGATTAAGGCAGGTGCACCAGACTCAGGAACAGCCTCATCGTCATCGTCCTCGTCATCTAAATCTTCCTGTGGGAGAATACGGAATTAGACCATATTTTGAGGTTAAACACTGAACCTAATTTAGTTCAAGCCAACTCACTCCGTAAATGAAAATCTTCCGCAAATCTCTCCAACAATTTTTTCGATTCACTCCTTCGAAAGTTCCTTGCCTTTTCAACGCAATAGCAGCTAAGATACCTTCATTAATACTGAACCCTGATGGATCCGCGACGCTCGCCATATTAATCCTTTAAAAAAAACGCAGATCACCTCAGACTTATAATTTGCGTTGATATACACAGTACTGCTATGCTAAATTTAAACAGTAAGCGGCCGTTACTAAACCATCAGCAGACGCGCGCGTTGTTTTTGAGCTCCGATACACTGTTTTCAGCAGGCGCCGATACGATTAGCCAGAGAAACCTAACAGCAAATTGGCAAAAATAAATTTTCTCCATGAATTCAACAAGGAGTAAAAAAAAGGGCGGGATACAAAATTTAAATCAATTGTACTGAAAAACGGACACCAGGAATACCACCCGTTATAGCAGCCCAATATGACAGCACTTCGGCAACTACGGTATACTGCATTCGTGGAGCTAGAACAGTAGCACCACCAAGGATCTTATCAAAGTGAATATTATTGTCTCGAATGCTAAGAATAACTCAGTATTTCCCTTGAAGTCAATACTGCGCATCATGAAGATTAAATTTGGTTAGGGAGTTTCAGTTAATATAGAGCGTATATCTCTGTCTGACGTCCAAAAAAGCGAACACGGGAATCATAGGTTAAAATTATTGACCTTTCGATATAAAAACGATGATTTACTTACACTTCAAGAAAATGAAGACATGCACTATTATATAACCACACACGTCAAAGCCAGTGGTTGGGGGGAAAGGGCATCTTTTGCAACAAAGTGCTCCCCTGCCGCTGGTATAGACGGCAGAGTGGAATTCGTTCCAGAAGACGTCACGCAGTTGAAGATGAAATGTCGTAGAAAATCACTGCATGTGCTCACTATACAGAGAAGCACGGTTGACTGACGAAGATAAGTGTAGAACAGCAATAATATCGATTATCACAATTCGCCGATGACCGTCGCGAAAATAATATGCGTCAAGCATTCATGGATTCGCAACTCCAGCTCGATTCGAGGTTCACAGCAGCACAAGCGTCATTACCCCGCACTATACTACATGGGTGGGTATAGGTATGCAAATTTTAATTAGTATTAAGATGAAAGTGCAGCCAGGAAAAGCGCCTGGCGGTTCAACCTCTGATGGAGGAATTTGTGTGATACACGGATGTTATGAACTCCCAATGATCGAGTGGGAGCTCATCCGACTGATTTTTCCTTTGATCTGGAGGCACTGCTCCATCTGATGATTGCTCATTCAACCATTGGCGGCTCCCGCTGAAAGTAAAAATCAGCGGGAGAGCCACTAGACCACTGGTTGTATGAACATGTGGCAGCTCCTGGCCTCCTGCTGCTCTAAGTTGCTGAGTTGAGCTTCTGCCAGATCATCAGGAGGTGCTATACAGGTATATACATGAGTACTGGTTGCTCTTGCAACCAGCAGATAAGTGCCAAGGGCCTCCAAATGAAAGTAAGAAATTAACGATACCCGGCCAGATCCAGCAATATATCAGGCCCATTCCGCCCATAGCTTGGAGATGTGGCGCCTTTGTGCAAGTATATATATATATATACCAGTACCCCCCCCCCCCTTTTAAAGAAAAGAAATTAAGTACAGGTAAAAACTCATGGGTAAATCTTGAGTATCAGTAATTTTCATCTTGGAAAACTCCAATTGGCAGTTATACACCCAAGTGGGGAAAATGGTGCATGCTTGGTATACGCATGTATTTCCACACAGTGACCCTGCTGTGCTCCTGAAGTGCACCAGATTTTTAACACGTTTTTATTAACTCGCTTTCTTGTCCGTTTGTTTGTCCAGATCAAATTTTGCAACTCAAATTTTGCTCACTTCCTGACTTTAGCTAGCAAGCTGAAACTTTCAGGATAGCTTAGAAACTGATGAAAATGCAATCTTTTGTGAAAAGAAAAATTATAAGAATATTTTTTAAAAAGAATAAAATAATTATAGTAGATTAAAAAATTAATCTAAAAAACCATGTTTTTCAAGTAAGATTAAAAAGCACAAAAAAATTTAGTAGATTAAACAATTAATCTAAAAAACGACGTTTTCAAAAAGCAAAAAATAACCTTAAACGTGGTGCGCATGGAGATTGTTGGGAAGAAGTGAAATACAAATGAAATAGATG